AATTGACATAAAACGTTCATAGACGTGAAAGATGGATACTTCAAGAATCCGAATCATTTTCGAATTAACGCGTCAGAAACAATATCAATGCTGCGTTTGGAGAGGAGACTGCTAATGAACGCACCGTGCTTTCTTGGTATAAACGTTTTCGTAATGGAAACTTCGACTTAAAGAACGAATCACGTGGAAGATCACCCACACTGCTGAATAATGCTGAATTGAAGAAGATGGTGGAAGCCGATCCAAGTTAAACTACCCAGGAATTAACAACATTGTTTAGCGTTACCCTACCTACAATATTGACTCATTTGCATCAAATAAATAAGATAAAAAATATGAAAAATGGGTGCCTCATGATTTGTCTGATCTGCAGATAATAAGATAAAGGTTTTGATTAAAGAAATATGTTACATCTTAGAAAAAACTAGTTTTAATTCTTAGTAAAAATCAGCAATTTCATACTTTAACCCCTAATAATTTTTATTTATTACTGACTCTAATATCTGTTAGTAAAAATTTAGTGTTCATAATGTACTGACTTAACTACGTCTAATATTGATTGACCTTTAATCCAGACGTATGCTCTTGCGAAAAAGGACAATATTTGTGGAAAAATACACTCGGTAAAACACTTCAGGACTGAAGGACACTCACGTGTAATGACATCCATTATTACTGTGATCGAAAATCTTTTTATATCCTACTCGGCCAGAGCTCCGACAAGGGTACATTAATCCAAAGAGGTGAGGCTTTGTGGTTATTTTTTAAGTAGCCAGAAATAGAAGCCATTTTGATTTTTCTCTAAACCTACTTGATCCCCTTTCGTTTTATTCATAAAAATGGTATTTCATCATAGCGTTTTATTTCCATCACAATAGGCTTGTGCTTTCTTCCCACGCCTATCCGTCTTATAGTGTCCCGTGAAAGTTTACGTTCTCTATATAAGTAAACATTATTGATTGATCTGAACTTTTGGTTCTATTTCAAGTCATTTTAGAGTATGTACTTGATGGATAAGAAGTAATTTAATTTTTACACATCGATAATTTTAAATGTGTCTTTGAAATACTATTGATTTTAAAAGTGCATGGGGCCAATTAATATGCTTTTATGGTTTGTATGTCTGCCCCTCCACTTCAGGTTTGATCCTCATCAGTATCTATTTACTTTACTCGTTCGAGTCCTTTATTATTCTGTAGCCTTCCCTGACAATCCGAACTTCTCCCCACGCTACCTGCTTTGCATTTCTCTTTTAATTTGTTCAAATGTCGTATTTATGAAGCTCAAAAAACTTCTAAATGTACCCTATTTGTTACAAAACCGTTCCAAGAACCGTTCATCTTACTCCTATATCTGGCAGCTCACCCATCTCATAATATTTCATATTTTATGGCCCCAAAGCAAACTAATGCATTCAAGTACACCTCACGCCAGCAAAAAGCGTCCCACATAAACTTTGCACTATGCACCAGAACGGTTCCGTACGCGAATTAAAGTGGGAACATGTTGCTGGTTGTTGGTGCTGGGAAATTTCGTCACTAAACCGCTTACAACGGGTTATGTAAAGCTGGCTGTTGCTTCCAAGCGCTTTTAAGACTAATGAGTATTTTGTTGCTTAGTATTGTAGTAAAGTTTTTAGTACTTCAGTAAAGTACTAGAAAATGGGAGGCGAAATACTTTAAACAGGATAGTACGGTATTCCTTCCATCTTTATGGAGTATCGGTTTAATTTGTTCTTAGAAATAATGTGATTAAACTGGTTAACACAATATTAAATTTAAATATTTGTAAGTAATCTGGATAACGAAAGATACTTTCATTTAAGAAGATCTGTTAAGTGGTTAAGGTATTGAAAGTATAAAGTTTGCAAAAGACGTTTTTGTGCCCAAATCGTAGCTGTCATGTGAATTGTTTTTTTTTTATGTTTGACATCCAATGAAAAGTCTCCTATGATTGGTATGATTGATTGATTATTTTCCCAAAAGCCCCATTCTACGGTTGGCGTAAATTGCTTTACCTTTTACAAATTTGTTACTAGATACTAACTTAAATAACGATTCTGTCGTTGCTGAAATATCAATAAACGTTACAATCATGTATTTGTAGACATGTATCCAAATATGTATTCTGTGAAACAACTGATTTCAAATATTTTAGTATAAACTCACATAACTGAGTTGCTTGATCTCGCAGAAGGCTGTCTAAGAATTACTATTTATAATAAACTGTACAATGATTGGCACTTTAAGGATTCTTTGATCACTCATCGACACTAACTTTTAATAACCATTTTTTTCTCATACAAATAATCATGAGTAATCAAGTTTAATAAAAATTGGTTAGAATCAACATTAACTATAAAAAAAGTTTAGTTTCACTGTATACTATCTGTATATTTAAAATGTTAAGTTGGTTTGTGTACGCTTCAAAAACTGAAGAAAAGATGCCTGTTTAAAATTAAGAATGCCATTATAATGGGGTGTAGTGTACTGACGGATTAAGAATATGGAATGTCACTACCCCAATTCTTCCCGTGGGTGTCGTAAGGGAAAACTAAAGGCGCAAAACAACGCAGGACACCAACACCTCAAAAAGAACGAAAACTTGACACAAACCCTATACCAACTCGTCTGGCCAGCGTGGCCTAGTAGGCCAAAACCTCCTTTATAAGGAGAGGCCTATGTAGAGCAGTGGACTATTAAAAGCTGTTGCTGTTGATGATGAATATAATGGGGTATCAACAATAGTACAGCTTACCCTAACTCTTTTAAAAGTTAAACCACTCAATATTACAATTACTCTTGCAACATCTCGATTTTAATAAGTTGAAGGATCCCCAAGTTTAAACAAGTTCTCTCTTTCCATTGAATCACAAGCGTCGAGCATTTGCAGAATGAATGGAGTGCATTTTTAAGCACCTAATGTTGGTAAGTGGTGCCCAACCGACAAGAATGGGCATTTCTTTTCCTGAAGATAAGAACGTAATGTACCTCTCTCAATTTCTTAACAAATCTTGCTTTAAAGTATTGTTGCAAGTAGATTAGAAATGTTATCACATTGGCTTAGATGGATTGCGGTTGATAATTGGATTTTGTACAAGAGCTTTGGTTTTGGTGTGAATCGTGGATTTAAAAGGGTTTTTATATAGTTCAAGTTGGTTTTATTTGGTACATAAATGTTGTTTGGTGCGGTGTTTATTATATTGGTTGGTTTACAGCTTATGGGTGACACCACTGCCATTACGAGTGTTATACGAGTATATATGCGAAATAAATTAACATCATGTCTGGTCGACTGTGTTGTACATCAACGTTTAAAGAGCAAATGCTAATAAGTGAATTTAAGCGAATTTTCAAAGGGAAAAATAATCTATATCAATATGATAAAGACGTGAAGTTTGTGAGTTTTTATGTTCGGGGTAATGTCAGGAACTACCGGTCCCATTCCAAAAATTCTTGTAGTGTTGGATAGCCCTGTTATCGAGAATAACATGGCGACCGTTGTGTAACGGACTGCTATTTTAAAAGTCGCGGGTTTGATTCCCACTTAAGTCAAACATTTGTGTGCATGAACATTTAATGTTTGATTTGGTTTGCGTGTTTCTATGTATAATGTGTATGTATTTCCAAAAATTAAGTATACATGTATTTATATCAGTTGTCTAGTACCCATAGTACAAGCTCTGCTTAGTTTGGGACTAGATGGCGTTGTGTGAATGTGGTAGAATATTATTATTATATATTAAATAATATATATTAAACTATGATGCTACGACCAATAGGAGCCAAGTGTTAATGACAAAAATGCGAAAACTAATATTAGATTATAATTGGTTTGGTTTATTAAACCATAGAAAGTGGAAAGTGACCATCGCCGCCCATGAACTGTTTGCAATTTGGGAGTCACAAACGCATTGCCAGCTTTAAGGAAGGAGTACACTCTTTTCACACTAAAAGTACATACATACGATTTCTTTTGTAGGTATATATACAGGAATAATAATAAATATATACTAGTTTATAACGGCGCTGCAATGGTTGGGAACTAGATGTCCACATTACTGAGCAATTAAGAACATAACAAACACAACAAGACACTTGTACTGCAGTTGTAAAACTCTTGCTTAAGTGTAATTTTGACTGTACGAATGGCGCCGTGGTTTAAGCGGTCACCTCACCGCTTACTACTGCGGTGAGGGTTGTACGTTCGGTCCCCACATTAAGCAATACTTTGTGCGATCCACAAATTGTTGTCCTGAGTCTGACACAGAATATATTCCTACTGCGGGATAAAAAATAAAAAAAAAGACGTGTGGCACTCGGGGACTGTCGCGGTAAAGCTATTGCATAGCATTTTGTATCAACTTATGCAATTATAATTATTTATTTATTTTATTTATGCAGTATTTCTTTTTCTTTGATATTAATTCAAGTTACACTTTTTGAGCGTGGTGACCGATAAGAAAACAATTTTTTTTCTTTTATTAAATAAAAATATTGAAGCATATATTACAATTTGTTTTTAAATAAATAAATAAAAAATATTATTATTAAATCAAATTACATATCCATGTAAGATATTTCTGCATTATGTTGACGAAATTTCCTTTGACGTTCAGCATTTGATTTTGGTACTGTTTTTTGTTTTGTTTTTAGCGTAAGGTTTTTTTTCGTTACGGAATTTCTGGATTCGGTCCCCGCGCTCAAGGCCCTCGATAGAAGCTATGCAATAGCTTAAAAACTTAACTAACTATGCAATATGAGTTTAAAACATAGAGATGAATTCTATCCCTGAGAAATTCGTAACTTTTTCAGATACAGTACATTCCCAATGTCCTGCTGGTATCTAGTGCGGCATATCATATCACTAGAAGCATTATACTAACAAACTTTATGATCAGTTGCCAATAAAGCGATAATAAACGTAGTGAATAAGTCTTTATTAAGTTTAACATAAAAAATCGTATACTAAGAAATATATACATTATGAACAACGTGACGTCATCTCTTGCAGCGGCTCAGTCGCTTGAACGCTCGCTTGAAACTCGCGATGTAGTGCAGTACCTGCTCCTGAAAAAAGAAAATTGAATCAGGTTGATGACCTTGACCTTGGGGTTACTGATAAAAGTACACATTTCAAACTATACCAGTAGCTATCCACAGAATGATTTCAAAGTTTGCAAAATAAAGCAATAAAAACGCTTTATAACTACGACTACCTAACACCAACACTTAACATGTACAAAGATACCAAAATCCTAACAATTAGACATCTATACATTCTTAAAACTTGTATACTAATACATAAAATCATAACACGGGGTACACATTCACAATTAAGCTTCAAATAAAAAACCTATACATACAACGCAAGGAAACGAAAAAAACTAGAAGTAACAAAGCCTAGAACCAACTATGGTAAGAAAAATATATTATGTGAAGGTGTAAAACTTTATAATGAAATACCTGATGGTATTACTAAAAGTGATAGCTTGTTTAAATCTAAAAAAAGTTTAGGAGATTACATTAGGAAAAGTACTGACACCAATGAAGTTGTCTTTATATGTTTAGTTTTATAATACTGTAATAGTGTATTGTGATCACAGAGATACCTAACTGATTTATTGTGTTGTTACATTTTCTCATTATGTGAGTGAACTGTATTATTCTTTTTATGAGAAATAAATGTCTTTAAACCGAAGTTAGATGAAAAAAGACGATTTGTAATCTAATTTCAAATTGGGATCACACGTAAATGGAAAGTTATAAAATAGAGGAAATCAGGTACACGTAGAGCCTTTAAACGGTTGTTTAGAAAATCAAACAGAAGGAACAATGAAAGTGTTACGGAAACTCTGAAAAAAAGAGAGATAAAAAGGAAAGGGCAAGTACTACTATAAAAAGTAAAAAAAATTACAATTGTTTTTATACAAACAGGGAAACATTTTAACGAGAGTGGTGCTTTAAAAATAAAATTCTTAGGGTACTTGATACATTATTCAAAAGCCACTTTCTTAAAAATGATGACGTCATAAGATAAATATTTACCTGCATCAAATTAAAGCACATAGCGACTAGCGCCATCCCAAGCATCAGATACAAAGAGCAGACAATGAACGAAGTCTCGATGCGTGGAGTGTATACTCGCTCGCCCGGTACGAAGTCTCCGAAACCGATACTGAGGACAATATGGAAAATAAAGAACTGTGAAATCAGTCTGGACTTGTTTATTTGGCAAATAATATCCATAATGAATGTAAGATGTAATAGGTATCACACAAATAAGGAATATGCATGTATTTTTTTAATTTTTTTAACGATTCTACTAGTTATTACATTACCAAAAATAAATATAACACATCCGAAATATAAACCGTGAAGCAAAAAAAAATTATTAAAATGACGATCATTTTGGGGCAATTTGAACACGTCCATTTTGGCGCGCTTTTTTGTGACGTCAGATTACACTTTCAGACGAATTCGATGTCAACAACGAAGTAAAGTTCACAAAGTTTCTGAAAGTAAAAAAAGTGAGTGATAAAAATTAACTTATTACCATGGAAAGCCAATAAAATCTTATTATAAATATTGTGCCGTTCCTTTGTGCCCAAATAATATCAAAACTGCACCTGACAAAGTATATTCAGTCATTGTGTTGAGTCTTTCTACACGGGAATTTAATAATTTAACACTGAAAACGTATTAGTTATTAACTTAAAATGAAACAAATAATCACCAGAAACCAAATATTACAAATACACACAACTTGTTGACACTCTTGACAGTGTAGGTTGACGTCACGTTTTATTCAACCACTAGCGTTGCGTTTTAGAAATTTGCGAGGAAATCTTAAAAAAGCCAATTTTTGATGATTCAATTTCACTATTAAATTATAATAAATTTCAAAAATAATTGTATGGGTATCTTTTTTAGCAATAAAAATTACAAATAAAAATATTTTGTCCATTTTGGTGTCACGTGCATATTCCCTATTGTCTGTTTAACTCTTTCGTAGCTTCTCATGACTTTTGTTGGTTCATTATTAATGACATACTCACGTACTCATATATATTTACATATATGACCGACGGGCTTGACAAATATGACGACCGAATGGCGTAGTGGTTTGTGTAACGAACTGCTATTCCAAAGGTCGCGGGTTCGATACCCGCTTCAAGTCAAACAGTTGTCTGCATGAACATTTAATGTTTGATTTTGTCTGGGTGTTTCTATGTATAATATGTATGTATTCATATCAGTTGTCTAGTACCCATAGTACAAGCTTAGTTTGGGACTACATGGCGTTGTGTAAATGTGGTACAATATTATTATTATTTTATGTTAGCGGTAACCTAACTGAACATAACGGACGGAAATATACGAGTATAGAGGTATTGAAATTCGAACAGAGAACTTTTTCAAGCAAACTAGTAAATTTTGAGAAACTAAGAACCTTTACTTAGAACACAAAAAAAATCATTCACGGTCTAAAACCCTAATAATATTAATACCAAGATAGAAATATTTAACTCAAGTCTTAAGAAGATGTAAGGTATTGAAATTTAAGCATACCTGCTGAGCGATATGAAGCAAAAATACGCTCCATCGAGTAGATCCCATTTTTCCCACATGCCGAAGATCAAAGAGCCAGACAATAGATATCTGAAAATAGAAACATCACAAAAAATGTCTAAAAACACCAAACTAAATCTTTAATGTATATTTTTACAAATACCAACATAAATGTAAGTAACCGCACATTGGATTAAAAAGATGAATAGAATTGAAACCATATCTTGTAATACCGGAAACATTGAGGCAGAAATATCGATATTAGTTTACCGACTATAACAGAAGTTTAGTTTAGGTAAATCTGTTTTTAAATTGACCAGCCTGTTTGTCTAGTGGTCAGTGATCCTGACTGCTCAGCCTGAGGTTGAGGATTCCATTACCAGGGTATCTTAGGAAGGAATAATTATGATACGAGTATAAGCACGATCATTTTTTTTAATATACTATAATTTTAAATATTAATCAAAATATTGCTTAATAATTTGTATGCCCAAATGGCAGATCATGGAATGAACATCATTAATAATTATGTAATGAACACCTGTATGTAACCCATGTATCACAAATAAACGATTTGATTTGATTTGATTTGTTCTGTGTCTGTGTATAATTTATCTAGAACACGCAAGTATTTAGTAACTTTAGGAGAAGCCTATGCCCAGCAGTGGAAGACTTTCGACTAAGAACAATGTATGTTTATTAGCAGTCTCGTCATCATAGTACAGGATCTGCCTAATTTAGGATCAGACGGCCGTATACCATGTGTCAAAAATAATAATAATCACTGGATAATCTATTAAATTACATTTTTGGGCTTTCTTAAAATACTAAATGTTCTCACGCCTCATTCCGTTACTGTAAAAAACTTTTTGCGTTCAACATTATTTTGGATGATTGAATTCAGTTACAGCGTCACAAACATAGCTTTATACTTATTTATTTTTTTAATTTTAAAAAAGACCTCCCGCATTAGGAACATATCCTGTGTCGCGGAGGACTTTACAAACATACATGAAACGGACACAAAGAACACCCAGACTCAGAACAACAATTTGTGGATCACACCTTTGTGTGATCCACAAATTGTTGTTCTGAGTCTGGGTGTTGTGGGTCCGATCCCCACATGGGACAACACTTTGTTGTCCCATGTGGGGATCGGACCCACAACACTTAGCGTAGTAGTGAGCGGCGTGGCGACCGCTTAAACCACTTCGCCATCCGTGCAGACAAACTTTGATTTTAAGGCATTGACCGTAACCATACAAATGTAATGCGTAGAAAATTATGTTGCGTAGTCAGACCAAAAATTGAGTCTTTTTTTATTTGTTAGTATTCTATATGTACATATATTTCTAATTCCAAATCGACGCTTGAAAGTCAATCCGCACTAAGCCATAAAATACGTAAAATATTTAGTTAAATCTCAAAATTATTTGATGTCTTTTAGCTTTGAAGTTTATGTTGTTTATTTGCAATTTGAAGCATTTACAAACTGTTCTTATTCCAGTAATCAACAGTTTATAATTTTGATTAATATTTAGACAATCTGAAGAATGAATCGAGACATTTCTAGAATATATCACAATATAATTTGTTATTAATGTTGAAACTGAAATGTATTTCAGTGGCAGAACACTTTATATTAATAAATAGACTGTTTTGCGTAAGGCCACATTCAGGTGACCTGTGATAAGCGTTCGTTAATGTGTTTCAACAGGAACATACACTTTATTCAAGTCGTTCAAATATGAACGCGCGGTTTGATTCGACAGCGGTGTCAATGCCTGCGGTGTTGATGGGTGTCCAGACATCTTTGCTTCTGCTTTCTTGATGATTAAGAATACAGAGTATCACCACCCCTATTTATCCCGTACGACACCGTAAGAGCCGACTAAGGGAAAAAACTACGCAGAACAACAGCACTGCAGAGAGAAGGAAAACTTGACGCAAACCCTACACCAACCCGTCTGGCCAGCGTGGTATAGTAGGCCAAAACCTCCTTTCTAAGGAGAGGCTTATGTCCAGCAGTGGACTATTAAAGGCTGTTGATGATGATGATTATTATCAATTTATACGACTGGTTACAAACATGTAAATGATTGTACTAGTGGTTGAACAAATATAAACGTATACGTATTACATTTAAATCTTGTAAACAATAAAGTTATCTCTAAGATAGAAAACAAACTACAAACGTTGGGCATTTCAATGGTATGTACTTAATAACTTACAAAAACATTATTACATATTATAACACAATAGTTTATAACAAACTGTTTAAAAAATAATTATCTGAATAAAAACTAAAAGTCGTTAGTCCCTAATAGAAGGTATTAAGATGTTTTGACTTTCCCTTGACAAATTTCTTGGCAGTCGCACTTAGCAATGTTTGTGTACGCATCAAAGCTAACTAGTTCTTTCATTTTAAGAAATTAATGTCTTATATTGTCACTATATATCAGTCACTATATAATGTTGATAGTTTATTGATTACGTAATCTCCCAACTTTTTACGACACAAATACTACGTTGCACGATTGTAGTTTTTTTATTTTATATTATATAATCCGTGTGGTGACGGATTAAGAATACGGAGTGTCACCACTCATGTTCATTCTGTGGGTGTTGTAAGAGCTGACTAAGGGAGAAAAATACGCAGGAGAACTGCACTGCAAAAAGAAAGAAAACTTGGAACAAACCCTTTACCAACCCGTCTGGCCAGCTTGGTATAGTAGGCCAAAATCTCCTTTCTAAGGAGAGGCCTATGTCCAGCAGTGGACTGTTAAAGATGATAGTGATGTTATATTTACGATAGGTTCTATCTTTACATGAAAAATATAAATCATAACCATACATACCCAACCATGATAGCCACGCAAACACTGATGGGGACCGTAATGGACTGAGCATCGAATGTTACGTAGCTAAAGTCTGATGATGCTGGGCTCCCTGGCTGATGCGCCACCGGCTCTGACCATCCTCGCTGTCTCGGGTCTGGTGGCCGGTACCGAGGGTCGTAAGGTTGAGGCATTGATATGCTGCGAATGTATTCTGGTCTTCTGGAAAACCGTGAATTATTATCAGCTTTAATTTTAAGAGAAGCGACCAAACAGGCAATTTTATCCTATCATATAAGTGGCAGATAATTTGTGAATATTTGAAGATATTTGAATTAAAAGTGACTGGCTGAGAAAAGGAAAATCAAAATTCTGCACAAATTTTTTTTCATCTGTGAATTTGTGTTTGTTGCATTACATTTACAAATATTAAAAAAAAACTTATAATTGAAGAAGTGTTCCCAAACTCTTTCTTGCTAAAGTTAATTCTCTCTTTCTGTCTAGGGTCAATACTTCACTCCTAAGGGCCGTAGCGGGATGTAGCATAACCAAATATGATGATACCAATTTGACCAAATACTCCAGAGATTAGCGGTTAAAACAAAACCTCAATTTTATTTTACTAATATAGTTTAGAATGTCAATGCATCAAATCAGCAGTTATTTATAAACTTTCATTTAATGACTGAATTTATCTATTCTTAATTTTGCATACAGACACTTTTAGATCAATATTGCGTCATTACAGAGTTTATTTTATTTCTGCACAGATCATTGACCGCCGTAATGTAAAATGTATTAAAGTATGCCAATGTCAAAACGAATTTCTGAATGCTGTTGTATTGCGGTCTGTTAAGAGTGTCCAAGTTTTGTGGTCACCGAGCATTTACATACTGCTTTTTGTCTTTGTCTAAGTATTTGTATTGAATATTTGACCCTTTGTCAAGGTTGAAACTGAAAGAGGTTTGGTATTAAATGGTTAAAATCACATAGAAGTAAGTTTCGTTCCACCCATTTCTATGACACTGTACTTGGTTGAAGTAGTATGTTTTAAAAGGTAATTTTCTCTATGTATTAAGCAGGCTAGTCTCTTAATATAACATATTTTAGTAATTAAGAGACAATCCCTCTACTTGTTTCAGCGACTTTGACAATGTCATCCGAATATCTAACCACGATCCGACCGACGGGTTTTCGGCAAATAGAAGTCTTCGGAATTTTTAGGTGGCGCTCCTGGACATTTCACGTAAATTATAGGTAGAAATTTAAATGCACCTAGTCACATATTTCTGCATAACCCTAAGGTAAATTAAAGAAAATTCCTGCAACATTAAGTCCGCCATTGTGCAAATTTTATTATTTAGTGCATAATAAATGAAATGATTTTGTATACAAACCTGGGTAATTCTCGTGGATATCTTCCTTCAAGTTCCGGCGTACCTTCAGACTCGGAGTGCCGCGATCGCCACGCCGGTGGCCTTTCTATACTCTCAGCTTCACTTAAGTCGTACTGCAAAACGTATTAATATGAAAACATCGCTATAATAATAAGCATTTAACTAGTTTTTTACGGAATAAGGGCTCATGGGCACCTGCATAAGCAGGCTGTAACTCAACACACACAAGATCGTTGACGTCCTTTGAGTGCCACCCAAGGATTAATGTGGGGATATTACTTATACGAGTGTAATAGGGATTTATTTATTTCTTGCTTTAAAAAAGACATCTCCAGCACTAGGAATATATCCTGTATCGCAGACGGACAAAAAGTAAAAAGGACAAAAATAATATCCAGACTCAGAACAATAAGTTGTGGATCACACAAAGTGTCGTCCCATGTGGGGATCGAACCCACAACACTCAGCACAGTACGAAGCGGCATGGCGACTACGCCGTCCGTGCAGTCGTGTGCGTTGTGAGCAAAACCTCGAACAATCCCGAGTGGCAGTCTTGTAACGGCTATTGCAGGAACAAATAAATAAAACAGAATTAAGCACCAAGAAACATTTAGATTATTACATACATATCAATTCAAACAACACATTCTCCCTCCCTTCCATCAATGTTTCACTCAACCAATAAACATGTCACGAACCATGCATATGATGTATTTTAACGGCTTTACCAACAAGTTTGTTTTACAAAACGTTAACATCCATCACGGAATGGCATCCCTTGCCAAACACTGTTGGAATTATGAGCGCACATCGACATCTGATCAGGCATCTGACAAAATGATGCTCGTATGATTGACAGATTATTTTCATTCCTTTTAATATACTTATCTAAATCCTTTTAAACATTGTACCACGTTACACGATAGATGGCGTTATTTTATTGTAATTAAATCGAGAATGTAACTCATTTGAATAAATAATAAAAACTTATTCGTTCAGAGAGTACGAAGAACCTTTAAACGAGCAATTTCTGTGTATATATGAATCTCGGAAACAATTTTTATGAAATTTAATGTGCAGGGGATTTCGGGGGCGATTAATCGATCTGGCTAGATTTCATTTTATAAAAATTTACCAAAAAGTACACAGCTAAAAATCCAGGTACTAGTTTTATATACATTAATACATTTATTCAACAGTTTAAAATTGTGGCAAAAGGCTACAAGGAACTATAGGAATCTAAATACAAATTTATTTTTCTGTTAGTGTTAGAGCATAAGAAAGGGCCCGAACTGTTCCGCAAAATAAAGTTTAAGTTGAATGTTGACACTTATTTTTTCTTTACCTCAATAAATTTAAAAATAATGTTCCAAAGTGGAAAAACCTCAAATAAAATACTTGTTTCAATTCAATTAAAACTAAGAGAGGGAGAGGAGGCGTAGAAAAAGATATAAACTATAAAGCTATGAAAACAAGATTTATACAGAATTAATATTTGTTTTGATACAGCTTAAAAAGTAGGTGAGTAAGGAAAATTCGAAAGCTAGATGACAATGTCACCTTTGCTTTAAGCAAATCGGTGAAATAGAACTACAAACACAAAATGATCAATAGTCACAATCATGGGTCTCATATCGTTAGTAGTCTTGGAATCCTCTGGCTAAGCTCAATCCTTACGTTGTACTGTTTCAAAATAGTGACAAAAACACACACACACAAGCATGCAAACGCTATTCTGATGCCTTATTCAATTATTAATTCATTCATTTCAGAGTTATTGAAGAAGATCAGATGTATAATAACCCGATCCCACTCTGTTAATGGACAATAGGCTACTTTACCCAGTATCTAAAGGAGAAGCCTATGTCCAGCAGAGGACTGTTATAGGCTGTTGATGATGATTGATGATAATGACCCAGAGGAGGAGGAAACAGAGGTCAGTAAATAGTACAGACAAAGCTATTGCTGTTGTCGATACTCTGATTTTGAATAGAAATCTTTTCTAACCACTAGTAGAGAGTAGATATAGTCAATAACTGTCCGTTAACGATCAAGGTGGACTTAAAAATTCATATTTTGGTTCCATAACAAAACGAAATTAATTAATTTAAATAAAATATTCACCTGCGGCCGTAATCTAGCAACTCTTCTCCTTGTAAATCCTGGACATCCTCTGCAGAGGCAGATCAGCGCGTAGATACACTTGAACCAACGGGCCAACAGCTCACCTTTAAACAATAATACTGTAAAAGTATTTACATGCTACTGGTAACTGATTGGATTACAGAACATTAAATACGTGGCTTATAAAGTGGTGACATAAATGAAATCGATCACAAACTTCACCAATTTTGCTTTTCTTGCTGATTAAGTAATTTGTTTTTTAGGCTCCGAAATCGTGTCGTGACTATCGTGACCAATATTTAAGTCGTGCTATGTATGGCACGGTATTGTATCGTTCTGGTGTGGCATCGGCTTTAGTAGACAGAGCTTGTATGCCATCTCATCGTCGATCTCTGGGTAAATCATCAGCATTAGCAAATCTATTTATTTCACGCGGTTCATGGCACTGTGTAATTTCACATCAACAGCATTTGATGGTCCACTGCTCGACATAGGTCTCTCCTTAGAAAGGAGGTTTAATTGGAACGGTTGACTGTGTAATTTAATTTAGTTCAATTCCGATATACTGCCACAAAATAGGCCATATAAGTTAACCCTCTATATGTCCCCATCCACACGTAAAGAGAAAGAGACTGGACTCCCTAAAAGCCTAGATTCAACCCTCTGACGCTTAAGTCGCTCAACCTCTGTGGATTTCTTTCTCATGCCCGCAACAAGACCACGTCCCTGATTATAAGATTGAATGATAGTCATTACACCATTTTGAGGTTCATAAATGTAATAGCGATAAAACTTAACGTCGAATAACAATAAATCATTTAGCAATAGGATTTTAGGTTTTTGTTATCAAACGAACGAAAATATCGGTCTAAAGCAGTTGTAGATTATTTTTATAATAGAAATAAGCAAGAAAGTTTAGACAGATTTCATAAAACTTTAATTAAATAAACTTACTCAAATCAATGGATTAAATCAAATCATTTGAAATATTTGTTCAAAGCGCTAGTTAATTAAGCGGTTTAGAGAAAAATAACAAATGGACTGTTTTGTATAAACTTAATTAAACTAAGATTCTGAAGTAATCGTCTGAGTTAAAATGTTGATCTTTAATTATACAACGTGCCTCGGTAATTGTAAAGTTTCGACAATTTGCTACAAGTTTGTTTAACTGCAAATGAAGTATTAGAAACGGTTTAGACGAAGCGGACTTTCAAAATTAACAGTTTCCTTTTAATATTAAAATTTATTAATAACTAGCATTACTTCGCGGATTCACTCGCGTTTAAGTAGATTTCCGGGATAAATAGAAGCCTATGTCTTATTCCAGACTATAATCCCTATCTGTACCAAATTACCAAATAGGCCAAAACCTCCTTTCTAAGGAGAGGCCTATGTCCAGCAGTGGACTATTATAGGCTGTTGATGATGATGTACCAAATTTAAGGTCAAGACCCAACGCGATAGAGGATTACTGTGATGCCTTCTGCCCCATCATGGGGACATAGGATGGATAAGTACTCGTAACATAAATATTTTTGATGACACTATGTAGAGTAAATTGTAAAGAGGTTAATTTTCTGCCCGGAGATCTCAGTTAACACTGACATAAAAAATACACCCATAATGAGGTCCTCCTCTTTTCTTAAGTTGGTTAAAAACCGACTTCCATTTTAAGTCATTTAAAAAGTCGACTTACAATATACTGATGCTACAAACATTATAAATGCGTGGATGGACGTTCCTTACTAGATAACGGCATAACGGCTCGACAGATCTGGACGAAACTTAGGAACAGATTATAGTCTGGAATAGCATAGACTATTTGTAAACGAAATATTGATTAAAAACGGTAGTAGTCAAACGTGCTCGCGGACAAAAACTGGTAGAAAAATCAAATAAATTATATTATCTTTTATTACATAAACACATTAATTTTCATGAAGTACATAATGTATCTTCCTTTCAAAACAACATTAATTTTTCTTTTATTGTAATATTTTATGATATGACCAACAATTTAGTATATTTTGAAGTAAAAAGCTGATTCGTAGCTAAATTGAGACTGGCGGCCGGACGGCGTAATACTGCACTATGGTGACGTATGGTTAATTAAAACTCTGTGAGAGAGGTTTAGGATTAGAGTAGCAATTTAATTTAGTGTCGGCGTAATGTGTAAATAGCTTTGTTACATATTTACTATGAAACTATGTTTATAACTATGAAATTTCATTATTTTTAACCGACTTCAAAAAGGAGGAAGTTATCAATTCGGATATGACGAGGATATCCCCGAATATACATAAAAAAATATTTAGATTTTCAAAATTATTTTTTTTGTTACAAAAGGAGTTTATGCCGAAATGGTCCCATTTAAATTTGAACCACGATTGTTGCTCTTTGTTAGTATGGTTTGAACTCGGTAGGTACAATTTGTACAACTTTAAAAAAAAGGATTTATTATTAGACAGGACAAATGAAGTACATCAGCCGGGTAAGAGAAGTCGATTGAACGAGGGAGTTAGAGAGAATGGATCAAGACAAGTATTCTTAGGAGTAATTCGAGAGCCCATGAGGGTGACGGGTGAGGCCATCTGTCAACCAGAAGCAGGGGTGGCGCGCAACCTATAAGCCGTATGTGGCCCGGGGTCTGGCGGGTTACCAGAGATTTCCTTTCTAGGTTACACCTGGCCACTCGACCCCCAGCGGTTTGAGTCGGTTCGTTCGAGTATACATAACCACCTCAGCGACCGGCCGGTGGGTGTCGCGGGGGACTTTACAAACATACCCGCGACGTACACAAAGAACACATAAAGAATTTATGGATCACTTAAAGTGGTGTCCCATGTGGGAATCGAACACACAACACTCAGCGCAGTAGGAAATGGCATGGTGACAGCTTAAACCACTACGCCATCCGCGCAGTCATTTTAATTTTTTAGAGTATACTTATATTTTAAAGTTTAAGTGTCTGTTTCTTCATGAGGAGGTTTCTTCATGTTACTTTCATTAGAGCTTTTCTACAATTGTAACAGGGCAAATCTTAATGTAACGTGTTTCTGCATTCCTGATCTTTTTTTTAAATCTACAAATTTAAATGTAATCACAAATAAAAATCTAAATATTTTATGTAATGTGTTCTCATGATACATTATACTTCATAGTTCATAATCATCGTGGTTAATATTCAAACCAACCAACTCGCATCACTTTAACAATAATCAAACTGCGCCATCAAGTTACGAAGTACATAATGTGAAACTCTTACCAACATTAGTGAGGTACAGAAGGAAGAGCGGCATGCCGAGCAGCGCGTAGAATATTGTGATCACCTTGCCCCAGTTTGTGCGTGGAAACAGATGACCATAACCTGATGTAGAGAAAGAGAGAGACAAAACTATCAGAATATCTATAAATGGATTCATAAATAAGTAAATAGGATATACGATCTATTAAATAAAGATTGATACAAAAGAGAAAGGATATATATCAAATATCATTCAATATTTTAAGTACTGAAACGAATATTAAATTTTAGTCAAAAGTTATAATCCATTTAACTTTTATGCAGACTTCCTTTCTTATCTAATCATTATTGAACTGTATGATGCAGTTAATAAGTATGCTTATTCAACAAAAACTGTTCTAAATTTAAAGTAAAAGTTAAACAATCAATGTACAGTCACGTTGTTAGGTATACTCGTAGTCCTCATAAAAATAAATTCATTGTTATATCAAATTCCTCAAAAAGTACGTCTCTTTACACGACTTTCGGATGTGATGATAAAAAAAGATGGATTTTCTTTCCAAATATACGGGTTAGTGTATTAATATATTTGTTCTAAATATATGTAATCTTACCTATAGTAGTGATGACTGTAAGCGAGTACAAAAATGCTGACGAGAAGCTCCACTGGCGTGATGACCGAGTTCCGTCCCATCCTGCATGGACCGCAGTCACCACAATTTTTTGATATTTCTTTATTTCCATACCTATCCTGACAACAGAGATGAAATTTACACTAATTTTAAATGAAATAATATTTGTCATATATAAGAAATTTCATGCGTGTGGTGACAGATGCGGATTCAGACGGACAGACGGACGCGCGGACGTTAAGACAGTACCACCACATGATAGCCTTTAGCTGTCCGATATAATGGTCCACCACCTGACACTGTTAGCGATTGCTTAAAATACCAGTATCTAATTAGTCCAACAACACCCACTTGCTCGTTACTATTTTCTAGTTTCACCCATACCAAGTCGCGATTAATTGTGTTGAATACGCGGCTTAGATCCAGGAAACAAGCGTAAACACTTGTATCCTGCCTGATATACTGTGACACGACCTATTTCAGAGAGAAAATAGCTGTGTCGGTTGATCCTATTTTTTTGTGACGGGGTGGAAAATCCCTTCCCATCTCCGGCTCCTCGGGGACGCAGGACCCAGAACCCAGCTGATACCGCCGCCGTCGTAATCTACACTGGGGATCGGACCTCTCCCGATCCCGTTCAGCGGTCTCTTTCTGGAGCACTACAGCTTCACAGAAAGAGACCACTGCGCCCCAATGTCGGTTGATAACTCAGTGCGAAATCCAAACTTTCCATTGTCTATCTTTAAGAAAGGACTTAACTTTTTGTGTATCAATCGTTTAAGTATCTTTGCCACTACCATTGACAAGGAAGGAAGTGACTATAATTGGACATGCTCGAAACATCACCAGTTTTATTCTTAGTTATCGCTACGACAATAGTACGGATAAGATCAGCAGACAAGTATATATGTCTAAGGAATATTAATTTCTTCTTTACCTTTCCCGCAACTCAGTCTCGTTGAACAAATTGAGCGCTAGCGTGACATTCTCCCAGAGGTGCTGGGCGGTGTTGTCTCTCGCCCTCGTCATATTCTGAGCTCGCTCCATCTCGCCCCCACCTTCTATAGCTTGGAACATGAAAGCACCTGCCGGAACAGAATTTAATTATAAGCTACATCGTTTAAGACGTTTTTCTCTCCAAAACTCAAACAACAAAACAAGAAAAATGTTGTGTTATGAGCACGATCATTTGTTCTGGGTGGGTGTAATTTATTTTTCTTTTAAAAGACAACTCCCGCACTAGGAATACAAACTTGTGTCTCGGGGGACTTTACAAACATACATGAAATGGACACTAAGAACACCCAGACAACAATTTATGGGTCACACAAAATGATGTCCCGTGTGGGGACCGAACCCACAACACTTAGCGCAGTAGGAAGCGACGAGGTGACCGGTTAAATCACGCCATATATAAGTAAATTTATTTAAAATTATATGTAAGCCAAGCTTCCCTACGATCTATTCATTCTTTTCGCTCACAGGCAAAAATATCAGCAAAATGTTTAAAAATATAGAAAATACATGATGAATGTTGATGAGAGAGGGACTGGTACCCACAACACATGAGGCTAGGTACCAGAGCCTGACTATACCGTGTAACTAACCTAAGATTCTGAAGAATTCTGTTGTATAAGAACGTTGATAAATATTATTTTATTAATTTTTATTTATGGCAGAGCCGGCAAACGAACATGGGTGGGTCACGTGATGATATGTGAACTTACAACTTTAAAGTCACAAGTGCGCTACCACCCTCTGAGCCTTATCTCCCAAAAATAGGGGAAAGGGGGGTTTGGTCTCCGGTAACCTCGCTCATTCGTTGAGAAGCAATGAAAGAACTGCTTAACACCGCTTTTCTATGAGGCCGTTATATCACTCCGGTCGAGAGTATAATTGAAACTAGCTGGTACATGCGACTTCGAAATTTGAAATTTTAAAAGCGTTGCTTTAGTGGGTTTGATTTCCGGACCGATAAAAATTTTATAGGGTTTTCTGGGGGAAAAAATAGTCTAAGGTACTCCTTATATAGACAGCCTGGTAGTAAAATATAATCAAAACCGGTCCAGCCTTTTTGAAGATTACCCGGAATATTTTTACTAGTTTTTAGGCATAGGTATCGTGCAAATAACCGTGAGAGCATGAAAAAACCTATTATTTTGACATTACAAACAGACACTTCAATTTAATCTATTTATATACATAGATGTTAAATTTAAACCATTATTTTCAAGATTCCAATTAGGACTTCACCTCTGAGAGAATGAATTTCATTCTTTGATTTATTCAGGATTTAAAATGATGCGAAGGACCGCAGTATATCACAGCCCAGATTGTTCAGGCGACAACAAAAGCTTTATAGTTAATCTTTTATTATTTACGTTCTCACTAACAAGCAAATGTGGTCAAAAGGAGGATCTCACAAATCCTGAGGACACAATTGAGGCTGAAACCGCTAAATATTCTTTGGTACCCGGCTTAAGAACCGACCTAGAGCTGTTTGTAAACGCGCAGTGTTCTATTGTTAACTTCCTAATAACGGCTTTGTACACTGTTATTTTAAAATATTTTTTGTAGTTCAGTCAAGATAATTTAGAATGTTTTTTGAAAAGCATTTGTAACTTTTTGTTAAAGTTATTCTGTTTATTAAAAGATAAAATAAATCTAATTAAACGGCTCACAAACAATGTTACAAATAGATTTTAAAAACTTTTAAGTATGTTACATTTTTAATGCGATAGTATTGCCATCGACACACACACGACAATTATAAGTAATATTCATTTCCAACACACATTAACAAGCTAATAACATGGCGAGAAAAAGAAAAAAAAATACTTTTGGTTTTTAATTTTGGGTTCATTTCTCAATGATTCATTGACTTTCGAGAGTCTGAACTCGGCACATCATATAAATAACCTTCATAAATAATAGAAGAATTTTATCAAGAATTTTGCGGAATATGCCTCTATGCCTATAAATCTACCGATGAAAGAAGCTTACACTAATCCCCATGTTGATATTATCGTCCTAAAACTTTGATCATCTAAACATCATAAGCCTGTTTACCCACAACACGTCACAACAAACTTTACGTGCCAATACTGAAACATAAAATCTGCCACAAACTGTTACGCCTCACTTAAAAGAAATTTCTTCATAACGTTTCTAGATCGCATGTTCCACTGAACTGCCTTTCATCTGCTTCCAAACGGTGACTAACAAACGATTTATTACAAAAATGACTAGCAAGGCGTTTTTTAATTTACAGTCGGCCACAAGTTTTGTCGATTTCAATGTCGTTGAAAAAAATACTTTTTTACTTTGATGTTAAAGATAAATTGCACGGAGTTGACAAAACTAAATCATCCATTGTCTGTCTTCTTTGGAACTGATTTTCTTTGTATAATCTTTTTTTTTAATGTAAGTTATTTTTATTAATTACATTTTATAATGTCGTAAGAGCCGACTCAGAGAGCAAACTACTCAGAACAACAACACTGCAAAGACCTTCTCTTTGCAGTGTTGTTGTTCTGCGTAGTTAGTGCGTAAACTTGACACAAACCATATACCGACCCGACTGGCCAGCGTGGTATAGTAGGCCAAAACCTCCTTTCTAAGGAGGTCTATGTCCAGCAATGGACTGTTAAAAGCTGTTGATGATGACATTTTATTAGCTCTATGTTAACAGGCCACTGACCAGAGCCACAGTTGGCTAGTGACAAGCTGTTTACATGATTTTTAACACGTTTTGTATCGAATCACCTCACATGTGTGTACACTCCAGATTACGAGCGCGATCAAACCTTCCATCCTGTGAATGTACAACAGGAGAGTGTTACAAATTGTAGCAACCACCGACTACCAGTGGCAGCCACCGAACATTCGTCGCAGCCACCGACCTTTGTTTATGTGGTGCAGCACTACATCATACTGGCTTACTGGCAAAGAGACAGAAGGGTACCTAATGAGTAATAAGAATAAGTGCCTTGCTGGTCTTTGAGTGGTCAAGGATCAGGTAGCTCTCGCAAACCTAACTCACTCGGAGAAAGGGAACAGAAGAATTACTTAACACCGGATCTTCGTCAAGGCGTGGTGTCACTCCAGTCCATATACCGAAACATGACAGTAATCATAAACGTATATCACATAATCTTATAAGTTCCATTCCCAGTCAAGGGCACGTACGCACTTAGAATATTTGGTCATTTTTCCCCCAGAAGAGATAAAAGATTTATTTTCAGAATCAATAGAAATTAGACTTTAACTAAATATAATTCATCGTATGTAATTTTACTTTATCATGTAACAGTATAACAGTTGCCGTCGATATAATTTTACTTTAACAATAATAATTTAAAATTCATCGCTCCTACCTTAATGGCTACTAATTTCGGTGGGCGCGTTCGTAGCCTTTTGTCTCGGCATCCGGCCCCATTAAACACCTATTCATGAACAGCCGCCATTTCCTCCTATAATACTAATACGTGCAACCTCCTTTTCACGCCATTCACGGCTTTGAATAGAAGTCTTGCCGAAGTAAATAGAAATTATGATTAAATATCTAAGATTATTGAGGCTTTCAGCTTTTTGGGAATAAAAAGACCATTATGGGAACCATTTTGAATTTACCTGTAATAAGGATATAAAAATAGTGACAGTACGCGTTAAGCTGTAGATATTCTACTTAGTAATCCATTCGAAATTTAGTGTAGAACAGTGTTTTATAGGACAAAACTCGAAATTGTTTTAAGTCTATCGTTAAAATTTAAAAGCTTTAATATATGACATCATCAAATAATTATCTTTTCTTATTCTTAATATGGACTTCATGTTTTGTATAGACATCAATATTTTTATGGTAAAAGGGGGCAAACGAGCAGACAGGTCACCTGATGGTAAGCACCTACCGCCGCTCATGGACACCTGCAACTCAAAAGTCTCAGGTGCGTTGCTGCCCTTACAGCCCCTCACGCTCGAGTCAGAGGGAGGGAGGATTTGGGCTCCGGTAACCCCACTCACACAGTGAAAGGCAACGAAAGAATTGCTTAACACCGGTTTTCCGTGAGGCCATGGTATCACTCCGGTCGAGCCGGCCCCCCTGCATGACTCTCCCATGGCAAATGTTGCTAATTCTGAATCAAAATAATATGAACCCATAGCATTCTCTTTGACTTTTTACTTTCAGTTTACCAATATCTGAACATATGCAAAAACAACATCCTGTTTTTATTTAGTAAACTATTATATTTAATATTCAATACATGTAATGTTTGTTATTGGCAATCTATTATTGAAAATTATATGGCAAAAACAAACTGGAACATTGCGGCAATGGTACGGTCAAGTTTGCGTTGGAGGAGAGTAAACATGGTTCTACGATGCGGTGGCAGCTTGGTCTACATGAACTAAGCCAAGTTAAGTTGAAAAAAATGCTTCGTGCGTGTAAATTTAACAAATGTTTACATAAGATTGATAACTATTGACTTAATTCTAAGGTAAACGAAGCCCTAAGCCTTTATTCTAAGTGTAAATATGTATCAGTTAAAAGTTATCACCTAAACATTTAAAATTACTTGCCTTTTTTTATGTTAGAGGGGGCAGACGAGCATACGGGTCACCACTTACTCGGTAAAATGCAGCAGAGAAATTGCTTTACGACCGGTTTTCTGTGAGGCCATTTTTGCCGAAGCATGACTCCCCCCTCCTTAAAAGTCCTTGACTTAACGATTCATACGCAGCTACAAACTAGAAATTTTAGCAGATGATATTTTTCATGTTGTAAGCACCCACCAAAAAGGATTTTATATGTGGCTTGACCATTTCGCTACCTTCACATGCGCTTGAGGTGAAAAATGAATTTACTGTTTATTACTTTTTTGTTATACAATAATACGAATAGTTCTTTTAGGGTGAATAGAATAGACTAGGGTGTAGAGTTTGTAAAGTCAGTGCTTGTAAAGTTCGGGCGTGTCGTAGAGTTAGAAGCTTGGTTCACATGAGATCTGATAACTTTTTGACAGTGCAAGCCATAAGGTCTCGTCTTAGCAACATTTTACATGAAAATGTTCTTGGCGGGATATTA